ATATATATATATATATATATATATATATATATATATATATATATATATATATATATATATATATATATTGAGTAGCTTAAGAAATATTGCAATAATTAATAAAGATTAATTATCAACACAAGAAAATACAAAGAATGTTTATGTATTTATAATTTACATATTAGTTTTATAAGATTCTAATAGCATTTTAAAGATAGTATATGTATATGTTTATGTATTTATAATTTGCATGTTAGTTTTATAAGATTCTAATAGCATTTTAAAGATAGTATATGTATATGTTTATGTATTTATAATTTGCATGTTAGTTTTATAAGATTCTAATAGCATTTTAAAGATAGTATATGTATATGTTTATGTATTTATAATTTGCATGTTAGTTTTATAAGATTCTAATAGCATTTTAAAGATAGTATATGTATATGTTTATGTATTCTAATAATTAGGATTATTTTATAGATCTTTTATTTTTTTTATTAATTTTAATGATAATTAATTTCTTAGGTAAATCAACTTTTCTATAAGATGGCTCTTTTAGATTTAAATTATGAAACCAAATGGTTTATAAACCTGGATTTAGAATTTTGTGTTTTATTATTCAAAATCAAATAACAATCTAACAAGTTTGAAAAAATGAAAATAACATAAAATTATAAATTAAATATTTTAAAAATATATAAAATATATATATATATATATATATATATATATATACATATATACATAAAAATAAATAAATTTAAGCTATGATTTTATAAGAAACTTGTAGAATATTTTTTAAATTATAATTATTTGTAGAAAGTGTTTTGCAAATTGTTTTTAGTCTGTTGATTATAAATAAATCAAACAAGTAATTAAAATTTAGTAATTTAATCCTACAATTTTTTCTTAATAAGTTCTTTGTAAATCTATATTTTTTAATTATATTTTTTTATTATTATATAATCTAAAAGTTAATAATAATTATTATTATTATAATAACCAACATTTGAATATTTTTTTATTAAGATAATAACCTTTGAATTTCCGATAATTAAAACTTAAACCTAGAACCAACTTCTTCTAAATTAATTCAAATAATAACATGTCTACTCACAAAGTTCAAATTTTATATTGGACTAGTACTAATATGCACAAAAAAATGCCACATTCTAATTTTATTTGCTATGATTGACAACAAGGCATACAACCTTAAATTATTCAAATTTTAGGATCATAAACTTTACATTACTAACAAAGAAAATTAAAAACAAAATGATCTCAGTCATATTTTTAAGAAAATAAAATCCTTCCAGACTACTTAGCCCTAGAAACAAAATACCATATTTAAAAAAATATTGTTGTAAAATTTATAATGCTACCAAATAAATATAAATGACATAATTTTAATAATATTAATAATGTAGAAAATTGATGTATTGTATAATAGAAGAAAATCAAAATAAAAATAAAAAACTGATTCCCTAACAATTTATAATTAGAGCATTGTCTCATTGAATAACACAAAGATATTGGTTATAACTTATGTTCTCTTTATAGACAAAAAAAATTGACAAAAAAAATTATAATCATTTGCAATAAGTATATGTTTAAGAAGTAGAAAAACCACATCAAAATTCAAAAAAATAGAAAAATAGAAAAAATGAAAAAACTCAACATGCTAAACTCTTCTCAATTTACACCCATGACACAATCATCTCCACTTATACCCATGATACAATTTATTTGCTCACCTCCACACCATGTACATACTTGGTTGTCTATTTTACATAAACATACAGTAATTCTGAATGTTGTTGAGATAATTTTAAGATTCCATGAGTTTTGGTTCAAAATTATATTTTGATCCGTTGTTGCTAGTTTTTGCGTGTAAGTAATAGTTGATTATTATCCCTTTGTGAGCACTTCCTCGTTGCTCTTTTCTCCCTCAGTTTACTACATAAATCCGTCTTGCACCGACATTCTAACTGCACTGATTTTGGATTTGCTTTACCTTCTGAATCTTCTATGAGATTGATGTACGTGTTTAGCAATTTTACACGTCTTCTTCTTCTTCGTCGCACAATTCCCTCCCTCTATGTCGCACTCCTCACAATTCTTAATTCCTCTATACACCTGGTATTCTTCTCAATATTTCTTGTTCAGATTGTATCCTTCAAATGCACCCAATAACGTACTATTCTCTGTGTGTGTGTGTGCGTGTGTACAATTTCTGCACCTTTATGATCTTTGTACACAAGGATCGACGATTGATGGGACTTGCTTTGTTTTTCAGCTTCTTCTTCTCCTCGCTCGCATTGATTGCAGTTTCTAAAAACCCCGAGCACTCGCGTTACTGGCGTGCACATACAAATCTCTGTTTATTTTATTTTTATTTTTCTTGGTTTCTCTCGCACAGCAGCTTGCTCCGTCGCCGCTGCTGTGGATACTCCCCTATTTTCTCGATGAATCATCGTCCCATCTAGTTGCAACATCACCTTCTTTCTCGCCGAATTATATCATTGCCACGCTAGAATACAGCTTCCCTTGGTTGTAACAAATGCTCACTATTTCTTTCGGGTTTGAAAATGCTTCCAGAATCTCCTTTCTGCTTTTGCACCCTCCCTAGATTATTTTTTTGAATTATTTTTATCGATCCTCAGCAGTTGCAACTGCCGCCGATCATGCTCACATCTCACGACTGTTGTTGCTGCCGTCAATTTCTCTTTTTGTTCCTCTCCGTTTACTTGTTTTGATGGAGCACATCACATTCCCCCAAGCCACTACGTCAGCAAGACACATTAGTGGATATCACAATAATTAGGATCAACTACAAGATTAGGAGTTATCCACTTGTAGGTAAACACAGCCACTAGTACTAAACGGTGAGACTGGATATAGAAACAGAGAAAATAACTGCAGCAAATTCCAAGTGGATGAGCAGTTTAATAAGCGAAACCTTTGATACACAAGTCGGTGAAAGTAAAAACATTTCGCACCCCTGCCTCGATGTGAGTTAGTTTGTCATTGTTGATCCAACATGGTATCAGAGCCAGGTTGCTAAACCTAGAAGGCAGAAACCTTGACAGCACTACATCGTAGACATAGTAAGGACCAGATGGCAAAAAAAGGTCCAACTTTTTTTTAATTATTGCGATAGCAAGAGAAGTACAAAGTCAGGAGATTTTTGGCATGGCAAAGCATCGAAATTGAGCCACCACATGAACTTGAGCAAGCCAGGAATCGGACTTCAGAGCTCTATTACAGGCCAAGAGCGGGCAACTCCGAGGCAAAGGAGAGAGCTGCCTCATGTTCCAAGCATCATGAACATAGAACAAACCTCATCAATGATCGAGTCACACAAGCTGGAACAAGCAAGTAACTTCTCAGTTTGGAAGGTAAAAATGCAAATCCTTTTCATGAAAGACAAGCTTTGGCATGCTATTTTTCCACATGGCACAAACTCGCAGCATACGACTGACACCGTAGAGGTCATCAACCCCGTCAACACCACAATATCTCAATAGTTACATGATAAGTACACAACAATGGCGATGTTGATAATGTCCGTCAAGGACAATAGCATATACCACATTGCCAAGTTTGACGACCCTGTGCATGCCTGAAGAGCTCTACACGACCTTTTCGACAAGAAGAACTCAACCAGAACGATGCCGCTGCTCAACCAGCTTCATTCTACTACGGTGGAGGAAGGAAGCTGCGTTGCAAATTATTTACAGAGAATAAATGAGATCACGATGCAGATAATATCATTGGAAGAGGAGATATTTGAATCACGATTGGTTCACATCGCACTAAATAGATTGCCGCAGGAATATGGACTCGTCCAAGGATTGTTGGTTGTCGACGAGCTTCCCAGCTTCGAGAAGCTAAGGGGTATGCTGCTTGTCACAGAATAACAAAGATCCCAAAGACCAACACAACATGAGGAAGCGTTATTCAATCGAGACCAGAAATAGCATCCTCTTGAGAAAACACAGTGAAGGGGAACTTCAAAGACTCAAAGAAATACATCATCCATCGCAACACAGTGTCTCTCAATACCTCCAAGACCAGCAGCTAAACGTAACGGAAGGTGCAATAACTATGGCCATTGGGGCCATTGGGCGCGGGAGTGTACACGTCCGCGTCGGCTGAAGAAACAAGTCAGCCATCCACAAGCGAACCTCGCGGCAGCAGAAGAAAACTCAAAGGCAAATAAAAAACATGAGGAAGAAGATCCAAAGTTCATTAATATTGCAATGCTTGTAATGAATCTAGAAGAATTGGACTCTTGATATCTCGACACCGCGGCATCAATCCATATTATAGGAGACAACACATAATTTCAAAAACTTGTCCCCGCCACGGCAATAAAGAAGATACAATCTGTAGATGGATATTCTCATTCAGTCGTAGGACAGGGTTCTATTTTAATGAATCACAAAGGAACGCATTGCACAATCTAGAACGTCTTACATATATCGGCAATAAAGAAAAACCTCTTGTCGGTAGGCATGATAGCGGACATGGGGTGCGTGGTAATTTGACAAACATAAAAACTAAACAAAAAAATTAAATATCTCTTTAGCAATTGCTTTTAAATTCTAGAATTCTAATCTAAATTAAATCATATCATTGAATTTAAGTTAAATTTGCTTCTACACTGGTTATTCCGATAATAATAATGTCACCATTAACTTTTAAAACATATCTTCCGGTTGGACATCTTCAATCCCGAAACCATATCAACCCACATCCAGTTTTCAATCTCAAGTGGCGGCTTGTTCTCAGCATCCCACACTCTCTGACAAATGACCCTTTTTTTCTAGATTTTGCTTCACAAAGCAGTCTTGTCAGGGCAACTCAGGTTCTCTTTTTTAGGTGATTCAATCTGTGCACCCAATCAGGGACTGATGCCATGTTGGCAAGTTGAAATCCACAGTCTTCAGCAGCGTGTTACTGTCTGCTGCATTCAATTCCTGGTGATCCGTTCTGTTTTGCCACCTTTGAGGTCTGTCCTGTGTAGGATACTAGGGTTATCTCAGGACCAATGCAGTGAGAGTTGTGGGTGCATTGCACCTGCCGATCTGTGCCAAAAAATCGGTCTCTGGTAGATAAATGGCTACTCCGTCTCCTGCAGCAAGGAAGCCATCGTTGCAACAACTTTACACAATAGATTCACCTGACTGAATCAATCTATATTTAAGCAAAAGACTAATGTCCAACAGTTCCCAGGAGTCAGAGATAGAGGTTTCTGAATATAGATAAGCTCTGCTTCCGAGCGATTCTCTGCTACCATGCTCCTCAAGTAGAATCCTAAAAGCTCCCCCTCCATGGGTTGAAACCGGAACTCTATCATGCTCAGCATTGCCACATTATCCGATGTTTGGGATCCAATGTGCAGAACTTGTGGATCGTCTGGTATGTGCCGAATGCTTTGCAAAGCTTCCATCGACGTTGAGAGTGAACAAACGTCACCATTTGAGCAGAAAGGTCCTACAAGTTGGTTCTCTTAGAATATTGACTTCATACGTGTGATTGCTGCGAGTCGCTGACATTGCTTCGGGACACTCTCAACGCCTTCGAGACGTAGGAAACCCACCGATTCCTCTCAGCACCAATAGATTTTGTGCTGCGAGCTGCCGAGGATAAGAAGCTCTCAATTGTGACTGTTGTAATCTGCATCAGATTTTGAATGCATGATCGTGGTCCTGCAGTCATTCATCAGTTATGTAATTGTTCAGGTTGTCGGTGGTAAGTAGAAGCTGGGAAAAAGTAGCACTGGCCACTGTTGCACAGGCTATGGGAAGTTGGCTGGACAGCAAGCAAAAGAAGTGCATTGTTGGTCTAGTATCCATTAAAGGAACTTGCAATGGTCTAACAAGCGCCAGCCTCACCACTCCATATGGAAAAACTCAGTGAGGAAGAGAGAAGAATGGATGAAGATGGATTTCTATTCACAAATGAATGGAAATGACCATGTCTCGTCCCACCAGGATCAACACGCCCCAATGTAATGAGTAGGGATGGAACTCATTTCGTAGAAGCGCCATTTGGGCCGTGGAGGGTGTCCAACTCGAGAGTTGCAGGGCAGATGCATTATCATGTCCCATTAGTGTTGTGTTTGGGCTTCCAAGTTGATCCAAATTTACCCAAATTTGTAAGAGAGGAACAATCTCTCTAAGTAGTGATGAGCATTGGGTGTTCAGGATGATCAAAGATTCGGTTCTGAAGTCCGTCAAAGTGGACTGCTTCGCCCTTTTTGAAGTAAATAGCTTTTAGGGTCGCAGCTGCTAGACAGCAGTGCTAGTGCCAGTCTAGTTAATCTTTGGTACAAAGGCTATTGAAACTTGCAAGCAAAAGTCAATTATCTGATCAGAGCCAATTTTACAATGGAGTTGAATTCAATCGGATCAAATCAAACCAGCAGGCAATGCAAGCTCCTATTGTGTAGAACATGGTTTGACTTGCAAATGTGAAGCTCTAAACCAGACCTTAACCCTCCATGGGTAGGAGAGTCTACTACTCCAACCCGTTGAGTAGAGCCCTACTACTACCTCACCTATGTTCTTCTCATAGGATCAATACTTGTGTAAGGCATGCACATCAAAGTTAGATGCAACTACTCTTGGAGTGCAACTTCAAGATCCTAATTTTAGAAAATTCCCATTTTAAAGTCTCTCTCCTAGGTTAATTTTTATATAAAGGTTGAATAACATCTCACTTAATGACTAATCATTGTTCTTATTTTATTTAGATCTTTGTTAAGCAAGCAACAACTCTTTTGAGTCATTATATATTCTTTTGCTTGGGAGAATTTATATCTTTGTTGATTTTGGTCATTCTTTTATATTTCTTCTTAGCTACTAAAAAAGTGTTGTTTGATAATTTCTTTTCATGTTTATATATATTTTTAATAATGTTTTTATTTTTTAATTTATTATTATTATTATTCTAAAAACTTAAATTAATTATATATTAATTAAGTGTCACAAAAATATATATATTTACTTAGATTAATAGAATTAGTTAGAAATAAATAGAAGTAAATTTCATAATGTCTTGTAAACAAGTTTCTTAGAAGCTTTATAAACACGGATTTGACTTTATACATGTTTGTAGGTGATTGGTAGCTTGAAAACTGGGCCAATAAGTTGGTCATGTGGTGTATATATAGAAAACTTAAATTTGCAAGTTAAACATGTGTTAGAGGTCCTAAAGAACATCACTACATAGCTCTTAGTAAAATAGTATATATGGAAATAAGAATGAGACTTTCTTCACTCTTGTGAACACCTTTCTTGTCCTTAATTTTGTCTCAAGAGTCTTTAGACTTCTTGTTTTTAGCACTAGCCATTCTAGTTTTAATATTATACTATCTTTGAATGAAAACATATTATCTTCAAGTGACACAATAAGATATATATATTGATATTTTGATTGTTTGTAATTTATCTCCTTAATAATAACTACATTTATCAATTTAGATTGCAACTTGTTTTGATTCTTATAAAGATAATTGTTGAATGTTGAATTAACATCTAAAAAATTGACTTGTATTAGGAAACTTTTTCCAAAAAGTATAAAGTTTCCTAATTTCACATTACAAAGACATCATTTATTTATTTTCTTTTAATATCTAATTTTATATATTTTATTTAATTTAATATTAAAATATAATAATAAAATATATTAAAATATTCATAAATGGACTTTTTAGACTTAAATTTGTTATGAATATATTAATTTATATTAATTTTTTATTTAATTTGTATATCATATAATTTTAGATACAAGTTCTATATTGTAATTTATATTTGGTCAAAAGCAACTTTATACAAAGTTTCCTAGATTTGTTTTGATTTTTTTGCCTTATAATAGATAAGTCATATAATTTATTATTTTATTTATTTATTCTTATTTTTAGAAGAAATATAAAAATTATAATGATAATTTTTAAAGATCTCTTAATTTCTAAAAAATAATTATATCGTAATTTTCTACAATAATATGCCACAAAAATTTTCTACAATAATTTTTTAGTTTCATTTTTTTTTCTAATTTATATTGGTTTTTATATTAGAGCTATTTTTATTTGAAGTTATAAAGTTATTTTAGGCATTTAGAAGATTTTAGATATTGTCTCTCATTTCTAAAAAAAATATTTTAGAATTTCTTCTCTATCATAATAATAATCTTAGAATAAAAGTACTTATTTTTTACAATGGTTATATAAAATTTGGTATTAAAAATCTATCATATCATTTAAAAAAAAAAAAAAAAAAAAAAAAAAAAAACTTCTTACTAGATAGGTGTTGCAAATTTAATAGTTATCATTGTTTTGCACAATTTAGGAACTTAGATTTAAAAGAAATCATTATTATGCAATCAATTTAAATTTAGATAAATTTCTTTATTTTTTAAAAAATAATATTTGAGTTATAAATATAATTATTATATTTAGTGTCTATTAAATAAATAAAAGGATTTTTATTTTGTTATTTTTTTGTTTTATTTTACTTGTTTGACCTTATTTTAATGTTTTATTTTCCTAATGACACATTTAACTATTTGTTTGGAAATTTTTTCTTTTTATTTTTTAGATTTGTAAATCTTTAGTTAAATGATTTTTATTTTTTATTTATTTTTATTGATTCTTTCACAACCTCTTGACTATAGAAAATCAACAAGGAATCTAATTTACTTCTTATCTCAATTCAAAACAACTCTTCAACTTTTATTTTCTTTAAAATCTTAATTCAACTTACTCTTAGTTTCACCATCTTAAATAGATTTTTATTTTGATCATCATGTTCTTAATAATTTGCAAATAAATCTCTACAACAGTAAACTTTAAAAGCTTTAACACCACATGTAATGACATCATCTACTATAAACACCATCCATTAAAAAAAAAAAAAAAAAAAATCATCTTTTTGGCGTAGACTTTTGAACTGTTTTTGTAAATATAGAACCAATTGAGTTGATTCCAATCCATCAAAAAAAAAATGTGACTTCTTACCTTGTCCTCTAAGTATATAAGGACCTCCTAACTCCTACATTAGTCCTAGATGATTGCCTTATGCAATTCCATGTATCCTCCTAAATCATCTTGGAGTGCCTTTCTTCCAAACTTGCCATAGAAATAAAAATAAGAATATCTTCACTTGGGAAAGTTGTGTCACTCGTGGGCCACTCCTGTCAACACTTCCTAAAAAGGATTAGATCTCATGACCTACCATGGCCCTTGCTTTATTTCAAGACTCATAGGGATATGAAGACTCTCTGAAAAGGTTAT